TGGACTTCATGGCAGGCGGTTTGGTTTGAGGTTTACTTCTGTTGCATTTGGGAGCTCTGGTGGCGTAGTGCTTAAGGCATTTGACTGCAATCGTGAAGGCTGTCTGTTCAAACTCACCAGCCACTCCTGGGAAGGAAGGAAGGTTGGGTAATCTACTTGCATAGAGATACCATCTCAGAAACCCAAGGAGGGTTCGCTACAAGTGGGATCCAACTCCACAGCAGTGAGTTTGTTTGGTTTGGGTTTGCTTTTAGAAACACTGGATTATTGTTAGACTACTTAAAGTCGGCTTCCTGAAGTCTGGGGATCGCAGGTAACCGTATCTGCTCTCCTCCCTCCGGCCGTAATTTGACTTTCCCCCATCTCTCTGTCACTTCCGCTTCACCAACGTTTCCTTCTTGTGTCAAGAAGTAGGTCAGGATGAGGAAATCTCCCATTTTCCTTCTTCAGTCAACCAAGCAAATTAAAAAAAAGAAAGAAAGAAAAAACACCGCTAGTTAAATGCTCTACTTCTAACCACATGAAATTTTTGGTAGGTTTCCAGATCTAAACCCTCCTATCACTATGTTGTTTGTTGTAGTTAATGTTAATGTTAGACACCATTGAGTCAAGTTTCGGCTCCCAGCGCCCCCATGTGACAAAGAAGAGGAAAGTCACCCCATAGGGTTTTTTTTGTTTTGTTTTGTTGGTATACTCTTTCTCCGCAGGAGCTGACCACCATGTCTTTCTCCTGTGGAGCCGCTAGGTGCGTTTGCACCGCCAGCCTTTTGGCTGAGCGCTGAACTGCTGCAGCACCAGAGTTCTCTCCCATCACTGAACACATGCAGAATTTACCTTTCAGCGTGGGCAGTAAGGGCCCACGACGCTGCTGTGTTGTGTGGTTGGAATCTTTGGGATCAACTGGGACCCATCTCGATCCAATACCGCACCTGCTGGTTTTTGGTTTTGTTTTGTTTTTTTTCCCCTTGGTGCTTCAGGTTTGCTTGACTTTGCCTTCTGTGTGATCCCTTCCTTGGCTCACACTCCCATATCTGTATGCTGGGAACCTCCAAATCTGAATTTTCGTTTCCTTATCATAGTACTGAACAGGAGTCCTGGGGGTGCAAACGCTTCAGCGTTCGGCTGCTAAGCAAAAGGTTGGTGGTTCGAACCCACTCAGCGGCTTCACAGCTGAAAGAACTGGTCTCTGCTCCTGTAAAGAATGTTGTTATGTGCCCTCGAGTGGGACCTGACTCATAGCAACCCCTCCTTGGGTTGCCAAGGCAGTATCACTACGGAAGTAGATTGCCCAACCTTCCTTCCGAGGAGTGGCTGGTGGGTTTGAACCGCCAGCCTTCTGGTTAGCAGTCAAATGCCTTGGGCAGTCTGCCACCAGAGCTCCTCCTGTAAAGAATACAGCCTAGAAAACCCTAGAATAGTACTACTTTGTTACATGGCGTTGCTACGAGTCAAAGTCAACTCAACAGTACTTAACAGTATCGTCCGAGTACTTATCACACCTGATTGTAACTTTTTTTACTTCTCTGTTTTTACCACCGACCTATACATTCTGTGGAAACAGAACCCTACTTACCAACATTGCTGTTGAATCGCCACTTCCTCCCACACATAGACTCTCCCTTGGACAGTTGAATGAATGAAGCCCCACGTCACTGAGGCCACTGCCTGCAGACTTCCCTCTAGTAAACTCTTCCTACTGGTCTCAAACTAACATAAGAGACCACTTCCGTTGTCTCTAGGGTGATCTTTCTCATGTCCCTTTGAAAAACATTCTATCTCAGCCCAGGGGCTGGATTCTTCCCCCAAATCGTCATTGACTTTGCGTGTCACCTCAGGTCCGAGTGTGAAAAGACACCCCTCTTGTGGAAGGAGATTCACACCTGTAGGGGTTGAAGGGCACCTGGTTCCGTGGGGCTGGCATTTAGATGCAGTGAGGCCAGCATAGACCAGAAGGAATGTGGTGACAGGCCTGATGTTGCATTTTATTACATGATTTTCTGTTTGAGAGTTGAAATCCTGGAACTCAGGGAAGATACTATGAGCATCGCAATAATAATAGCCACCACTTAGTGAGTATTTACAGGGACCAGACTGGTGGCGTAGTGCCTAAAGCATTTGACTGCAAACCAGAAGGTTGGTGGTTCAAACCCACCCACCACTCCATGGAAGGAAGACTGGGCAATCTACTTCCGTAAAGATTTACCGACTCAGAAACCCAAGGATGGGTCGCTATGAGTCAAGCATTGTGCAAAGCACTTAATAAACATTCTTTTTTTAAATAAACATTTTTTAAAATAAACATTTCTTTTTTTAAATTGTGATTTGGGTGAAAGTTGACAGAGCAAATTCACTTTCCATACAGCAGTTCACATACACTGTGTCTCATGACATGGACTGCAATTTACTACAATGCAACAGCTTCCCTCCCACTTCCTCCCCATAGTTACCTCTTCCCTGTGTCCATCCCTCCATGGACTCCTGCCCCCTGAGCTGTCTCCCTGTGCATAAGCAGCCCTTCTTTCTCCCATGATTGTTCCCTCCAAGAAGTGTATCTACCTCAGGTAAATGTTCAACTCATATGCCTGTCTTTTCCTTGGCTGGAATCCACAGTTAATTCTTACATGATTTAAAATTAAAAAAAAAAAAAACTCACTTCCGTCAGAGTTCCCTCCTGCTCAGGAATCCGTGGCACTTCCTGCTGCCTTCTCCATCGGGTCTAAAGGAGGAGGCTTGTCCTACCAGGTCCTTGGTCACTTGGTCCCACCCCACCCTTCAGTGCTGCCTTCTTTCTACCGCAGCCCAACCTGCTTCTCAGCTCCAGTGCTGAGCCCCACCGTTACTCTCCTTGGGGCTCTGGGAATTCCAGTCTCCATGTCTTAAGTCATGCTATTGTCTCCTCCTACTAGAATCACCTCATCCTCAAGTCCTCCTCTATGAAGCCTCCTGACCTCCTCTCGTCTACCCTGACCTCGGCCTTCTCTCATCTCTACTGGCCTTCAGTTGAATGCTTTGTTGACTCCACTTACGGAGGTTTTGCCCACCCACCTGGACGGTAATATCTTTGAGGATAGCAGCTGTTTTTCATGGTGTTTTGCATCCTACAAAGCTTCTACCTTAGGGAGAACTTCACTCCAGCTCCTCCTGTTTGCTTTTCAAGCCTGCCCATCCATGGCCACTTTCATTTTTCTTTTTACTTCAAGTAGGCTGTATACCCACTGCCTTAGAGTCGATTCTGACTCATAGTGACCTCATTGGGCTTCCAAGGCTGTAAATCTTTACAGAAGAAGACTGCCTCATCTTCCTTCCATGGAGCAGCTATTGAGTTTGAACTGCCAACCTTCTGGTTAGCAGCCAAATGCCTTACCCACTATGCCACCAGAGCTCTTTAGACTATATCCAAAAAACCAAACCAAACTCACTGCCGTTGAGTCGGATCCGACTCATAGCAACCCCTCCTTGGGTTTCTGAGGCGGTATCACTATGGAAGTAGATCGCCCAACCTTCCTTCCGAGGAGTGGCTGGTGGGTTTGAGCCACCAGCCTTCTGGTTAGCAATCAAGTGGCTTAGGCACTACGCCACCAGAGCTCCCTTAGACTATATAGAGGTGGCCTAATTAAATATCATCTGAAGAAATCTTAACTTTCTAAGTCTGTTTTAAGGGAATGTTGCTGTTGTTATGTGCCGTCGAGTCGGACCTGACTTATAGTGACCCTTCCTTGGGTTTCTGAGGCGGTATCACTATGGAAGTAGATTGTCCAGCCTTCTTTCCGAGGAGTGGCTGGTGGGCTTGAACCACCAGCCTTCTGGTTAGCAGTCAAATGCCTTAGGCATTACGCTACCAGAGCTCCTTTTAAGGGAATAGTTTTCCTTTTTCTCCAGTTTCATTACTTTGAGTGCATCAAGTCGCATTCAACAGCTCCTTGCTCCCCTGTTGTTGTTGTTGTTGTTAATGGTTGTCGAGTTGGCTTCAACTCATGGCAACCTATGTGCAACAGAAGAGACGCTGCCCGGTCCAGCGGCACCTCCGTGGTCACTGGGATACTTGAATCCATTGGTGTGGCTACTGTATAGTGTCCTCCCACCGAGGGGGCTCATCTCCTATGTATCCACCATCCCCCTACAATCCCCACCATCCCAGATGTCTGATACTCATGGGAGATAACCTTCAGGATCAAACTGTCCGTGTCAGAATGTACGGAATGGTCACTGAGCAGTCCAAGTAGGTCCTAGAGCCTGCTGGGCCCATGCAAAGAATGCTGTAGAACGTCAGTGGAGTTGACTCTCATCACCGGAACTGCTGTGGAAGTCCAGGGTTGGCCTGCCTTGGACGTCAGAGAAACAGCCTTTCAGGAAGTAGGGCAGTTAGGGGTTTCTCCACCTGCACAGGGGCTTCCATATTTCTGAGAAGAGTCCAGAATGTCTACAACAGTCAGGGCAGGAACCTCCTTTTTTCCCAGAGGACCTCTGGTCTAGATTAAAAAAACAAAAAGAAAAAAACACCAAACTCACTGCTGTCAAGTCAATTCTGACTCATAGCGACCCCTCCTTGGGTTTCCGAGGAGGTATCTCTATGGAAGTAGGTTGCCCAGTCTTCCTTCCAAGGAGTGGTTGGTGGGTTTGAACTGCCAGCTTTCTGGTTAGCAGTCAAGTGCCTTAGGCACTGTGCCACCAGATCTGGCCTGGATTAGTGCTTCCCAAACACTAGTGTGCATACGGCTCACACAGAGGTGATTTTACACGCAGATTCTGAGTCACAGGTTTGGGGTGAGGCCTGGTTTTTGTATTTCTAAGAAGCTGCCAGCTACTATGGGTGAGGATGCTGCCTGCCTGGGGACCACACTTTGAGTAGCAATAGTTAGTCTGGAATACAGACACTCCTTGTTCCTTGAACTTGAGTGAGTGGGTCCAGGTCTCAAGATCGACTCCGATTCCTGTGCACATCTGGGTAGCATCTCCTGCAAACATCTGGCTAAGTCTGTTTTTAATTCTTTTTCAAACAGCGTATCTCAGTTTTGCAACCACAGACACCAACCAGGAGAATACATATTCCATGCAGAAAACGGTGATGCCCAGTTCACAAAAATGTTTACGCTGAACATAAGGAGTAAGTAAAACAGTCAAAACATTTCATTTTAATTTTGTAATGTTTTAATGCTTTACTAACCATAACCAGAAAGAGTTAAGCAACAGCTTGGAAGGAAGGCCACAAAACTGTTCTTAAATGCTTGCATGCTTTTGGATTTTGCTCTCGTAGCCACTGGCTCTGGTGGTGAGGAGCTCTGGTGGCGTAGTGTCTAAGGCATTTGACTGCTAACCAGAAGTCTGGCGGTTCAAATCCACCAGCCTCTCCTCAGAAGGAAGACTGGGTAATCTACTTCTGTAGTGATACTGCCTCGGAAACCCAAGAAGGGGTCGCTATGAGTCGGGTCCGACTCGATGGCATATAACAACAAACAATCAAATATTTCAGGAGCTCTGGTGACGCAGTGCCTAAGGCATTTGACTGCTACCCAGTATGTTGGCAGTTCAAACCCACGGAAGGGAGATAGGGTAGTGTACTTCTGTAAAGACTTATAGCCTCAGAAATCCAGTGGGGGTCACTATGAGTCGGAATTGACTCGATGGCAGTGGGGTTTTTGGGGGGGTTCATCAAATATTTAGTCAGAAATGCCCTAAATATAAGTGATGGGAAATTTTGGAAATGGATAATGGGAATGGTTGAACAACATTATAGGCATAACCAGTGACACTGAGTTGTACAATGAAGAATATTGGAATAGCAAACAATTTGTTACGTGTATATTTACCACAATGAGAAAAGAATGACTTAATTAGGCCAAAACGTTTTAATTACAGGAAGAGCAGACTGAGCTGGCCAGATACCAATTCAGTTCTTAAAGAGGTCTCTAAGTGTAGCTCCGGGAGCTCTGGTAGCATAGTGCCTAAGGCACTTGACTGCTAACCAGAAGGCTGGCGGTTCAAACCGACCAGCCACTCCTCGGAAGGAAGACGGGGCAATCTACTTCCCTAGTGATAATGCCTCGGAAACCCAAGGAAGGGTTACCCAAGAAGGGGTCATTATGAGTCAGATCTAATGCGATGGCAGCGGGTTGAGGGTTTATATCCACAGGTTTGGGTTACACATCTCTTTCTGTTTTTATCTTTGGAAGCAAAAAGACTTATTCCATAACCTCTCACAATGTGCTTTAGTATTGTGACTTGATTGACTTTTAGTCCCTTGCAAGGTCATGGTCAGTAACGGCTCAAAGTCGTATTACCCTCCATTTGTTGGTTTTCATAATTTAAAGTGTTTTTGATGGGGAAAGTTTTGTTGAACCTCTTGCAGATAGCTTCTCCTCAAGCTAAGAGGGGTTGAGGTGTGTAGCTAGCTATGGGTCTACACCTCAGCTCTGGACAGGATGGCCTAGCAGTGGAAAAGTGGCGTTCAGCAGCTAGTGTTAGGGCTACAGGTGATGACCTCATAGCCCAGCTGATAGGGTTACCTGTGATGACGATGACCCCATAGGCCGGGGAGAAGGCGGGAAGAGGCGTAACCAGAAAAATGACGAGAGAGGACTGGAACCAAACAGAACAGCAGCGCGACCTGGGTGCGCGGGCACCCTGCCCTAGAAGCTAATTGTGAAAGCATTTCCCAAGAGTGCTTCCTACTTGAGCTCATTTTTGAAACTGGTTTGTTGTTAGGCTGCTGTGAGGTGGCATCGAGTCAGTTCCGAGTCACATCAACCCCATGCATAAAGAACAAAACTACCTGGTTCCAAGCCACGCCCCAGTCGTCACCATGTTTGAGCCCATTGTCGTAGCCACCATGTCAGTCCATTTTGTTGACCATCTTCATCTTTCTCGCTGACCCTCTACTTGGCCAATTGTCTTAGCTACCTAGTGCCGCTAGAACAAAAAGACCTCAAATGGCTGGCTTTCACAAACAGAAATTTGTTTTCTCACAGTTTGGGAGGCTGTTGTTTTTGTTAGGTTCCAGCTCCCGGTGACCCTGGGCACAACAGAACCAAACAGTGCTGGGCCCTGTACCACCTCACAGTTCTTGCCATGCCTAAGTCCATCACGGCAGCCACTGTGTCCCTCCATCTCATTGAGGGTCTTCCTGTCTTTGCTGGCCCTCTCCTTGACCAAACATGATGTCCTTCTCCAGCACTTAGTCCCTCCTGATGACACCAAGTACATGAGATCAAGTCTCACCACGCTTCTTCTAAGGAGCATTTTCACTGTACTTTCTGCCAGACAGATTTCTGCATCCTTCGGGCAGCCCATGGTATGTTCACTATTCTTTGCCACATCATAATTCAGATGCTTCAGGTCCTCTTCAGTCTTCCTTGTTCATTGTCCAGCTTTCCAGTTCATATGAAGTGGTTGAAGTTACCATGGTTTGGGTTAAGCACACTGTGGTTGTTATGTTTGTGTGTCAACTTGGCTGGGCCTGGCTGAGTGGCTGAGCAGCTGGTGGTAGTTATTCCCCATGAGGAGACTGGCAATCACCTCCACGGTGGGATCTACCACAAGCAGCTGAGTAGCTGCCTTTGGGATGTGGTCTGCTTCCTGTATTTAAGGAAAAGCCTTGGGAATGGTCTCTAGCCTATGGCACGCTTGGACCCTGCATGGAGCCGTGTCATTGCTCAGCAGCCTGCCATGCTCTGCCGACCTTGGGACTTACAATGGACTTAAGTTAATGGCCTGTTGTGTGGTTTGGTAACATCAAGACTGTGCCTTTTTACTTGTCAACCTTGGGCTTCTCAGCCTCAGCAGCCAGCAGCTGTCTGAGTGAAGAAATGCCTCTAACTCCAGTGGCCGGGAGCAGGAGGCAGAGCTGGACCCCAAGGTTGAGGGCTTTCGCCCAGCCCCTAAAGCCTGGCACTTTGAACTTGGACTTAAAGCCTCCAAATTATAAGAATAAACTCCTGTTTGTTAAAGCCGTCCCATTTGCAGTATATTCCTGTCAGAGCGGCACCAGGGAACCAGAACACACACCTTAGTCCTCAAGTGGTATCTGCTTTTTAACACTTTGAAGAGATCTTTTGAAGCAGATTTGCCCAATGCAACACGTCATTTGATGTCTTGACCACTGCTTCCGTGGGTGCTATTGTGGATCCAAATAAAATGAAATCCCTAACAACATCAATCTTTTCCCCGTTTATCATGATGTTGCTTATTGGTCCAGTTGTGAAGATTTCCATTGTCTTTGTGTTGAGGTGTAATCAGTAAGTGCTTCAAGTCATCTTTACTTTGAGCAAGCAAGGTTGTATCATCTGCATATCACGGGTTGTTGATGAGTCTTCCTCCAATCCTGATGCCATAGTTTTCTTCTTTAGTCCAGCTTTTTGGATTATTTGCTCAGCATACAGATTGGATAAGTATGGTGAAAGGATACAACCCTTTTTTTTTTTTTTTTCCTTTTGCTTCTGGGGGGATTTAATTTTCTTTTGCAAATTAAAAACAAAAACATGCATCACATCTTTTTATTGTGGCAAAATATGCATAACATAAACCTCACCATTTGTGCCATTTTGTTCCTTCACCGGTTGTACAGTCATCACCACTGTCTGGTTCCAGGGCATTTCCATCACCCCAGAAGGAAGCCCCATGTCCGTTAAGCAGTCACTCTGCATTTTCCTTCCCCCAGCCACTGGCAACCACGAATCTCCTTTCTGTTTCTATGGATTTGCCTGTTGTGGATATTTTATATAATTGGAATACGATATGCATCTAGCTTCTTTCCCTGATAATGTTTTTTTTTTTTTTTTAATTTTTATTTTGATTTGGGTGAAGATTTACAGAGTAAATTCACTTTTCATACAGCAGTTCACATATACTTTGTCTCATGTCATT